GCCCATGTATTCGCAATTTTCACAATTTTACATGCCTGAACGAGGAGAGGGCATGTCACCGGGCTGCCCTCCCTCGCTCGCTGGCCGTCCCAACCTCGGGCTCGCTGCCCACATGGAGATGTCGATAGGGGTCCCCGGCTGTGGAGATGGCAATCTCCGCGTTTGCGTAGTCAGGGTGGATGGTCCTTCTGTATGGGTCCTCGACCCCCATTCTACTGACGGACTGGCTGGAGCCGGAGTTGGGCTCGGTGGGGGTCGCGGGGGGGTTCTGGGGGAGTTATGGCTTTGGCAGGATCTCGTAGCCATCTGAGTGGCATCAAGGGAGTCCCGAGCACGGTTTCCAATCCCTGAGGGAATTGGGGAGGCAGGATGCTCAGGGGAACCTGCTGGAGTGACGTAGTTGGAGACCTCTGCGGGCTCCTGAGTGACGTTCGTCGTCCATGGGTTCCGGAATCCTGTGAACGCAGAGTGGTGGTCTCTGCTGTCTCGTCAAGGGGGGTACTGGGATCCTTCTTCCTCATGAAGGCTCCTTGTATCCGAGTCGTTATTCTGGGTTTCTGATAAGGGTCGCCCTTGCGGGAAGAAGGACGTTCTGATGGAGGGGGGGATGTCATGGAAGGGGAGGTCGGGGGTTACGTTTCGTAGAATTCTTTGTACCTGCTGGAAGGCTTGGTAGTGCCTGACTATCCAAGCTGTTACTGATTGTCGTCCACGGCAAAGGGTGATGATGGCTAGAAGACCGAGTAATGTTCCGATGATGGAAGCTATCAACTCAAAGAAGTCGTGATTTAGGTCTGCGGTTGTTGCTGGCAGCATTCGGTTTCTCAGCACAATTGGGCTTGAGAAAGGGAAGGTGAAAGCTTCGAGCTAATTGTTAAGCCCAAGCGACACGTGACAAGACAATACGTGATAGACAGATGTCCCTTCGCACTTTAAGGGATCACCTGAATCCACTTATGATGTTATCGACTTGGTGTGTCACAAGGCCACGAAGTGGCTCGAGAGTAGAATGGTATGAATATAAACTTTAGCTCGAAGCTGGGGTTTCTCCAGCAAGAGCGCTACTCCTTAAATACTGTGCTATCGTTCCTAATTATATCGCTACCTATTATGTGTGTCTGTGTCCATGGTGCCCGTTGTCCTTGAGCATCGTTACTGTACATAAAAGGGCGATTGTGTGTTTCTGATCTTTGTTTATTGGGCGGCGGGTTATTGTGGCTACGCCTTTCCCACGGTCTTGTGCCTTTATGACTAAGCATAAATAGGGGGAATAAGGGAAAAAGGAGGAAAAAATCATAACAACCACCCCATCATTATCCTCCCCTCTCTGGTTATGGTCTATCTGCCTGCTCAACAAGTCAGCCTTCCTATTTGCTGTCCTGGCTTTGTGGTGTAGCATATACTGGTATTTCAAAAGTTCAGTAACCCAGTGGGCTTGTCAGCAGTTAAGTTTCTGAGGGGATCAGAAATATCAAAGATTCTGATGATCTGTCCATCTCTCAAAGGTTTGAATCACTCTAATGAGGTAATGTCATCATTCTGCAAAGGCAAGCATGATTGCTAGGAGTTTCTTATCATATATTTCATAGTTGCACTCCATCATGGTCAGTGCCTTGGAGAGAAAGACAACCAGTCACCACTTCCTGTCTTGCTCCTGAGACAGTACAGCTCCTATCACTCCTTCACTCAAATTGGCCTCCATTTAGAATCACTCTTAGTCTATTGGTATGGCTAATACTATATCCTTTGCTAGTTATCACTTTAGGTCTTCAAATGTGGTCTGCTGGAAGGGACCTCATGTCCAGGGAGCATTTTTCATTGATATGCTGGATACATGTCCAGCTCTATAATTTATGAATTCTGCATAATGCATTAGAATATGCTAGTAACTAAGGACCATTAGCCAGTAGAGGACTATGGCTGAGGCTCTAAGCTGATAGTCATGCTAGTCACCAATACTAAGTCCAAAAGGGACTTTGTAAAATAGCATGGCATAAGAATAAAAATCCTAAGTCAGATTTGAACTTAGAAAAGTTCTACATCACATCTTAGAAAATACTAAGTCTAAGTTGGACTTAGAAACAGTACTTCAAATAGGGCCAATTCTACATGCTATTAAGATGAGTATATTCTAAGACAGCTAGGGGTATAATACCATAGCCAGTTGTGGAGTATTGAGTAAAGACAGCATCATCCAGGAGCAGTAAGAAGAGAGACCCAATAATCTGTGGCTAGCACTCTGAGTTTTGACCCAAATGCCTAAGTCAGAATTTTCTAAGTATCAGATGACCTAAGAGATGTAGAATTGAGAGAAATAGAGTGGATAGAACCAGTTGACCAAGCCTGATCAATTGAGCTACTAAGAATAACTCAGAAAATTAAAACTCTGAGTAGACAGATAGGAGTTAAGTATCCACAGGCACTGTAGACTTAAAATAAAGCTGTGCAGTGGCCAGGTGGGTCTGAGAAGGCCTAGGAGAGTCCAGAAGCACCATCAATCTGGAATAATGGCATGGTTCCACTTCAAACAGGAGAAATATTATTTTAACACTTTATTTATAGATTCTATACCTGTTGTTGATGTATAAGGGAAGGGGGGAAAATAGCAAGCAAGCGACCCAACCCCACATTCAGGCCTTCTAGCCCACTGTAGCTAGTCCCTGGGACAATGGATTTTGAGTTCTGCTTCAACTTAGTGATTTATTTAAGTTGCTTTGTCACTTAGAGAGGATTGGATTGGAATAATAACTGTATTTTAGATTTTGGATTAATTTGGGTTCTAAACTATAAGGGTTTCAGCATCAGAATACAAGTTCTTCAGTTTTGAGAACTGCTAGCCAGCCAAGAGTGCAGCTAGTCAAGCCTAAGTGCATAATAGACTTAGTATTTGGGTTTCAGAGTTCATTGGGTTTTGGAATATTCTAAGTTGATTTGGAGCGCAATTGTGCATTGATTCTAAGTCCTAATTATACTTAAACATTGCTATAAACTACTCTCATGAGTATTGCATCTTTGAAAGCAAGATAAAGTTGAATAACTGTCTTTATTGACTGTTTCTTTGATTTTATTTAAGACTGCAAGAGTGCTTCTATCATACTCAAAACAACTGACCTCAACTGTATTTGGTGATTGTGTATTGAGTGGTTAGGTGTTGGTGTTTGAGAGTTCATTCCTCATTCGCCTCTCTTAGTTACTTAGCTATTATCAAGCACATAACTGTGAGTTGGGTCATTGATTGGATGATCTTACTATAGTCCCTGATAAACCAGCAGTAGAAGTTTGTGAAACCAAGGAATGATTATAGTTTCTTCTTTTTTATCAGTGTTGGTCACTCCATTATCTCTGCCACTTTCACTAGATCTATCCAAATGCTTCTTTCACTAATAATAACACTCAAGTACTCTGTTTTCAATACTTCAAATTTGCACTTCTTGGCCTTTGTTACATGCATGCTATCAGCCTCCACATCACTTCAACCAACCACAAATTTAATAGCCAAGTTCCACTGGACTCTGCTTATTTCCTATTAACTATTAATTTTATTTTATCATTACTATTTTACATCCATATTTTACATTGTACTATCTAGACTCTGAAAATGATAGCAAACAATTGACACCAGAAGCCAATAGACTTCAACTTAGAATTAACTACCAATAATATATAAACTATATATAATCATTGTAATTACTCAGTTTGAATATCAACTTGGATAGCCATCTACACTTGGTGCTCACTTCAGCTCCTCTTTATCTCATCCATTGGATTCCACTCTAAAGGATATCTCTCTTCACTTCTCCAATGGAACTCTGTTCTGTCAATCCAAGTCCTTGGGCCTTGACTCAAGAGTGACATTGCTAATAGCTTCATTGATGCCTATGCACTCTGCCAGTATCCATGCATGCACTCAAGCTCAATCAATTGGCATGTTCCTAACAGTATATTCAAACTCAAACCCTTGAGTCAAAAAAATTTTATCATGTCCACCACATTCATCTAACTCACAGAAGCCAATCTCAAACAAACTCAGCTTAGCTATTCCAACATGTTTTTCATAAAAGACATCCTAGCCTCTATCTCAAAGGAACAATCAGGCCTCTTCATATCAGCCTCCAGTAAAGGACAATCCTGCTATAAGGAAACCTACAGCCACTCTAGCTTCATTACTCACTAATCTAACTATGATGACTCCCCTAACCCTTTTGACACCATTAGCATTCCAACCAATGGAGCCTGACAGGCTAGCACAATGTATGGCACTCAAAGTGACTCTTTGACAGACCCCTTATTCCTGGGCAACATGCAGGAGAGTTCAGACAGCCCAGACTCAGAGGATAGAAGTGAAGACACTCCTACTTATACTCCTATCCACTGGAGACCAGGTGGTAACCCACCAAACCTCTTCCCAGATGGATCAGATGGGCCAGAGAGATTAGAAGGACCAGATGGTCTCAATAGCCTCACAGGAAGCAACAATCCAAACTAGCAAAATATATTCCTAGAATTCATGAATCTGCTACAAGGAGTCTCCACTTCTCTCAATAACCCTAAGTCAGCCACTATCTGCACCAAGATCAAGAAACCAGAACTCTTTGATAGCTCTGACTCTCACAAACTGAAGGCCTTCATCATCTCTCTTTAGTTAAACTTTAATGACAGACCTACCACATTTACAATGGATCCCAGCAAGATCAACTATGCTATCTCTTTCCTGGCCAGCATCACACTTGGCTGGTTTGAGCTAGACATTCTTAATCTCAACTTATGAAATCTGCTGGCCTGGCAGTTTTTCTATACAGCCTTCTTGGATGAGCTTCATAGCAACTTCAGCCTCTTTGATGCTATTAGAGATACCAAAAATGCATTAGAGCATCTTCAGATATATAATGGAGATCAGATCATAAAGTATATAGTCCAATTCAATCAGTATGCCTCACAAATCAGATATAGAGACAACTCTCTCTACTGTCTTCTACCATGGTCTTTGCACTCACATCAAGGATAATATAGCTCACCATGGGAAGCCAAACAACCTCTATGACATGTGCTTCCTCACCCAAGAACTTGATGCTTGCTACTGGATCCAGAAGACTGAAATTGCCCATGAAAACTGGGACAATAAGACCTCCAACTAATTCTCTAACTCTAAATCCAAGGAGTCCAACTCTCCTTCCTTTGACTCCAGCTCTACACCAAAATCCACCACTCCTAAGCTCTATGCTGATAAACTAGGCAAAGATGGCAGTCTTACTCAGAAAGAAAAAGACTGCTAGCATCAGGACAATCTTTGCATGTTCTGTGAGGCTAAACACAAGACCAAGGATTGTAACAAACAGAAGACTGCAGCCTCCACCAAGAGTCATGCAGCTGAAGTAGACACTGCTCCTAAGGAACTGGCTTCAATGGAGTTGAAAAACTAGGAAGCAACCCTGTTCTCTCCATGTGAGTTCAGGGTTGTGTTAACTCTATTTGCACACTAAAGGTCATTACTCTCAATGCAATATCTCTTTCCAGCCAATCCTTCTATCTTCTGCTTTTAGCAGAATTACTATCTAATACAGAACCCAACAGGTCTCCAGCTTCTATCATTCTGTATTTTCTTGCTCTTATCAATTCTGGTTTTAGCCACTGCTTTATTAACATTAAGTATGTAGCTGCCAATGATATTCTTATTAAAACCATCTCTAGTGTGCAACTCCAATTATTTGATGGCTCTGTTGGAAGCTGCATATTTCAAATTGCAACTATTCCTATCTGTTTTCCTTCTAGAGATACCTTTCTCATCAACTTTTATATCACTCATCTGAATTCATCTTGCAATCTTGTCCTAGAATACAACTGGCTCTCCTGCTACAATCCACTGATTGACTGGGCTGAGAACAGTATTGTCTTCTGCTCAAGCTACCAGAATCTCACTCCAACCAATTCTACAGCCTCCACTGCATCTGCTGACATGTCCTCTCCATGTTCAAGCATGTAAAATTGTGAAAATTGAGAATACATGGACTACATTTCAGTCTAGTAAGCATGTAACTAAGAATAGAATAAGAGTGCACAGAAACCTAGCTATCATGAGGCTAAACTGAAGTAACAAGGAGCAGAGTGCATGGTCTAGTAGCAGACAAATGCCAGAGGGGTTAGACTGCATGTGAGGTCCTAGCACTTGGCCCTAGATGCACCAATACCATTACAAGAGGGCATGCTAAAAATAAAAAGAATATGATCAAAATATGATTGGCAATCCTGATCACATTAATCAATGATGCACTGATGAAACATGCTTTAGAACAGAGATCTGGGACCCAAAGAAAGGTATTTGAATAACTGGGTGCTGAATAGAGAGATGCAATGATAGCAACAAGGGGATAGGTAGAGGAATACTACTCTCAGAGATGAATAGCATATGTACTGCTCAGAGACTTGCACACA